GATTAAAATGGTATTAAAAATAATTGAAATTCTGGAATGAGTTTTATTATTTATGAAAATAATTGAATTCCTAGAAAGAATTTTATTATTTACAAAAATAATTGAATCCCTGTAAAAATTTTATTATTCACGAAAATAATTGAATCCCTGTAAAAATTTTATTTATGAAAATAATTGAATAATTTGCGAAGAAATTTTTAACAAACTTGTAAATAATTGAAATCCTATGAAATTTTTTTTCGTAGAATTTTATCAAAATTTGTTTTAAATAATTGAATTCTTTTGGAAAATTTTATTAAAATATTAGATATCGTTGAATTCAGGAAATTGTTTGAAAATAATTGAAATTTTGCCAAGAATTTTATTAAAATTTTCAAAAATAATTGGATTTTGGAGAAAAATGTTATTATTTCAAAAGATAATTCAAATTTTGACGAGAATTTTTAAAAAATTTTGTACATAATTGAAGTTTTGCAAAGGATTTTATTACTTCTGAAAATAATTGAATTTCTGCAATCATTTTTAATTTCTCTAAAATTTTCAAATTATATCGTACAATTTACGAACTTTTTGTCCTTTTTCATTCAAATTACGGACCTTTTTAAAAAAAACTGACTTTTACGGACTTCAAGCGAATTTACGAACCTTTACGGGATTTACGGACCTAGTTCAAGCTCTGAAGTTTAGACAAATTTCTCTTAGTTTATAATTTGTGCCACGATTTGAAATAAAAGGTTCACGGTAAAAAATTATAGGACATATAGACAGCGCTTTAACGGTTAAAATATAAACTATGACACTGGTAATTTCGTGCAGTTTTTTATTTTACCGACGTACGATAATAATTTTAAAAAGAGGAAAATCGAAGAAAAGTACAAGGGGAAAAACAATATAATTATTTTCTTCTCCTTTCTTCAGCGTGGGTAAAATTTAAAATTTATCGAAATATTCGTTTCAAAAACTTACTTGTAATGATGAAGAAATTGTTGAATAATTTTCTGGTCAACATCTAGTAGTACAGGAAGAGATGAATCGATGGACGCAACATCTAACCAACTAGCCAAGCTATGTTGGGGGTGTGATGCAATGCACGGAGATTTTTGCGGGTTACTCGACCGGATTGGGCAGCTGGCGTGTGGTCGTGGTCAGCCGCTGTTCGTCGTCGGTCGTGCATCACGGCACTGAATTAACCCCAAGCCCAAAGCTCGACGTATATGCCCCTGGACTGGACCACATGGTCCATGGTCCATACCCGGATTCGCAACTGCAACTGTAATTCTCTCCATCCTCTACGATGTTTTGTAATAGCATCGTAAATTCCTCAAATTCCTCTCCAAAATTGTCAATCATTTTTCTTATTTGAATATTCTTCTTCTTCTCTTCTTTTTTTTTTAATTATTTTCTATTAGGGCTCGAAGTAGGTCCGTAAATCCAGAAAAGGTCCGTAACTTTGCTTCAAGTCCGTAAAAGTCCGTTTTTTGAGAAAAAGGTCCGTAAACTCCGTAATTTCATTCAAAAAGGATGAAAAGTTCGTAAATTGTACGATATAATTTAGAGAATTTTAGAGAAATTACAAATGATTGCAGAATTCAATTATTTTTAAAAGTAATAAAATTCTTCGCAGAAATTCAATTATGTTCAAAAATGTTTAACAATTCTCGTCAAAATTTCAATTATCTTTAGAAATATTAAAATTCTTCTCCGAAATTCAATTATTTTGAAAAAATGTAAAAAAGGTCATCATCTAAATCATCTCTATAAATAAATAAAAAAATTCTTTGACAAAATTGAATTATTCTCCAAAATTTTAATAAAATTCATTAAAAAATTTCAATTATTTTCATAATTAACAAAATATTTATCACACGAATTCAATTATTTTCTAAAGTAATAAAATTCAATAATTATCAAAAATTTTAATAAAATCAATTGCAAAATTTCAATTATTTTCAAAAGTATTAATATTCTGTACAAAAATTAAATATTGTTCAATATCTACTATTTTCATAAAATTTACCAGAAGAATTTAATTATTTAAAAAAATTGTAATAAAATTCTACAAAAACTTTTAATTATTTTTAAAAAATAATAAAAATTTATCAAGAATTTCATTAATAACAAATTTTTTTTATAAAATTTCTTCGCAATCAATTAACTATTTTCATAAATAATAAAATTTTTACGGGGATTCAATTATTTTCGTAAATAATAAAATTCTTTTCAGGAATTCAATTATTTTCAATAGAATTTTAATCGAATTCCTCGAAAAAATTCTTAAAAATTTTATTAAAATTCGTCCAAAGAATTTAATTATTTAAAAATTTGGTAATAAAATTTTTAAGAGGAATTGAATTTCAAGAAACATTCAATTATTCAATAAATTATTTATTATTATTTATTACTATATTTATTACTATTTATTTATTTTTGTATTTAAATAATTGAATTCTTGTAGAAATTTCTCATAAACATTGATTTAAAAATAGATTTCAGTTAAAATCTTAGATTATAATAATTGAATTCTTTCGAAGAATTTCATTAAAATTTTAAAAATAATTGAATTTTATCGAGGCCTTTTTTTAAAATTGTCTTAAAAATAATTGAATTTCTACAAAAAAAAAAAGTTTTATCAAAACTTTTTTAAATGTTTGAATTTCTGCTAAAATTCTGATATTTGTGAAAATAATTGAATTCTTGCGAAGAATTTTATTAAGACTTTTGAAAATAATTGAATCTCTGCAAAGATTTTTATTATTTTACGAAAATATTTAAATTCTTGCGAAAATTTTTATTAAAATTTCTGAAAGTAATTGAAGATTTGCTAAGAATTTTGTTATTTTTAATTTATGCAAAAAATTTTATTAAAATTATTAAAAAAATAATTGAATTCCTGTTAATTTTTTATAAAAATTAAATTATTTTTAAAAATTTTAATAAAATTCTTCGCAAGAATTCAATTATTTTCATAAATAATATAAAATGCAATGCAGAATTTCAATTATTTTTAATACAATTTTCATCAAATTTCTCGAAAAAAGTAAATTATTCTTAAAAATTTTATTAAAATTCGTCAAAAGAATTCAATTATTTGAAAATTTGTTGATAACGACTTTTTATTGGAATTGAATTTTAAGAAACGTTCAATTCTTCAATAAATTATTTATTTGCATTTTTACATTTAAATTTGTATTTAAATAATTGAATTCTAGTAGAATTTTCTAATAAAAATTGATTTTTATTTCATAAAAATGAATTTTATTAAAAATTTTAGATAATAATTGAATATTAAAAGCATGAATTCTAAAAAATAATTGAATTTCGTAATTAATTTTTTTTGAAAAAGTTTAATTTGAATTTTTTTAATATTATTTTTAGTTTTTATTTTCTAATATTTATTTAATTAAAGAATTTACGAATAATTGAAATTTCGTAAAATTGAATATTGTGAAGAAATTAATTTGAAAATTGTCAAAGAATTTTTTCGAAAATTTAAAAAAATAATCGAAGAATAGTTTTAAATTCTTAGCAATAATAATTGAATTGATGATTTTAATTATTATAAATTATTTTTATTAATAATTATTATAAAACATGAAGAAATCGATGACTTCAAGTCGAAGTTATTTTATTACTCGGAGTTATCGATTTCTTCATGTTTTATAGAACTATGAAAAATTGAATTTCTAGTTTTAAGTAAAATGTTCTCTTTTTTGATTCGGCCTGATTCTATTTTTGTCAGATGGTCCGTAATTTTTAATTTTTGGTCCATAAAGTCAGTAGTTTTAAATACTTTCACTGCTTCGAGCCCTGCTACTTAATATACAGATAATCTACGATAGATAATATATAGACAATAAAAATATAAAAAAAAATTGCAATTATGATGTTACAAGAAAACGATTCCCAGGGGTTTTTATCTCACAATTCTAAAATAAAGTGAAGCGGTTGTGTTCAATGCCTGAACGGTGAAACGTTTATGGCTTCCATTATATGAGTAAAAGTTGAAGATTGAGTCTTATGAACGTCAATCAGATTGGATCTTTCAATCGGCGGCGTTTGAACTTAATCTGGTTCCCTGACCTTTCTCTTCCCCTTTCACCCCTAGAGTTCATGTAAACCAGTGTACAGGTGGCTGCTTTTTGAAATCAGTGTGTAACGATCGAGAGGTAGCAGCACAACAACAGCACCCGAGACTGAAAACACCTCTAGCACGAGCTATATCATATTCCTCATAATGAGCGCGGCAGGGCACATCAAGAGGCCGACACCGCCACGTAATTGAAATGTGCGGTGCCCATGGCCGCATTTTATCCATTTTATCGTTTCGAATATAAACCCAGGGAAATCGCTCAAAAATCATATATCCATACTCCTTGGCTCCGCATCGTCGTACTGCTAATAGCCGGATCGAACGCTATTATGATCGACGAGAAAATACTGATACTTTCGAGCCTCTCCTTATGTAATGATGACCATAATTCGTTTTCAGAAAAGGAGGCACAAGTCCAATTCTTAGAATATTATTTTATTCCACAACATTATATTTCAAGAATATGAGTAATTTAAATTTTAAATCCACCTACCTTACACCAAAATACTTACTATTATAATTACAACAAAAACAATCTCCGAATATCTCCACCCTCCGCACCAAATTCAAGAACATAAACTTTAGTCACGATTTCAATTTAACATTTACAAAAATTTTCCTCCTTTTTCTAAAATAAGAAACCGTAAATCGTAATATTAAAAATATCCCGTGTTTTATATAAACTTTTATGTAAATATATTCAAGGATAGATGTAAACATATAGTTTACAGATTAAAGAGAGAGAATTAATTCGCGACAAAAGTAATTAAGGCGATAAACGGGAAACACTGTTGGCAACTAGTTTGTTTTGCATCACTCTCAGGACGGTTTAATCGGCGAATAATGACATTCAGCTCAACGTAATAAAAAAAAAAGAGAGGAAAAAAAAACGATATAATATTGTACTTACATACTGTCGATTGAAGCAAGATTGCCAAGGACAAACATGAAACATAAATAAAGCACAAAATTAATTACATATTGCAAATGTAAATGAGTGATATTTTATTAATGAAAAGATTTAAGTCATCTAAATTTTTTTTTATGTGTCTGTGTGTATGATAATTTACAGCTCTATTCACATTCTTGAGCTAAGTATACACAAACAATTAAGTTAATAAAGTAATGAAATTAAATGCGCAACGGAAAACTTGTACAACTGAATATTTAATTACAGCTCCAGTTATAATTGCTTTTCGGAAAATTAATTCTAATGATACAATCGTTACAAGATTGTTATACAATGTATTTAACGTTGCATGTCACGCGCTCTCAAGGAAAGGGACAAAAAATTTTAAGTTGCGTTCATAATTTTGATAAATTATTTTACACTTTTTGGTATAAGACTGAAGATTGACTCCTCTTGCTTTTATTACACCGAAACTGTTATTGATTTTTCCTCATTTTCCCTGATTTACACTTTACAGACAAGGTTTTCACTTTTTTCCTTATATTAAAAAATATTCTGATTCACTCTAAAAATGATTATATACTCAAAAAAAATGTTCTACTACATTTATTTACAAATTTCCTTAATTGAAAAAGTATTCAAAAACACCAATAACTTCATTTTTGAATAAATATTTAATTATTATTTTTCCATGAGAACTAAAATGTTCAAAATTTCAAATTCAAACCTTTTAAAATTCAATTATAAGAATATTATTATAAAACATGAAGATATCGATAACTCCGAGTCTTCGACTCGGAGTGATCGACTTCTTCATGTTTTATATAAATTAAAGATGACAGAATCATTATTTTATATTATAAGAATATTATTACTGTAACTTCTTCAAAATTATTTTCACCATTTCAATTCAATTATTATTATCTAGAAATTTAAACTAAAATTCTTCTTTAAATCAATTATTTTTGATAATTTTTGAAAAAGTTCTTTGAGAATTTTAAAATACAATTTTACAATTCAACTTTACGAAATTTCGATTATTGGGAAATTCTCCAATTAAAAAGATATTAGAAAATAAAAACTTCAAATAGTTTTAAAAAAATTTAATTAAATTTTTTCAAAAAAAATTAGTTGCGTATAGAATTTTTAATTCAAAGTATGAAAAATTCAGATTTTGAAAAATTTTAATTTCATACTTTTACAAAATTGCAATTATTAGTAACTTCTCCAAAAATTCAATTATTTTCTAAAACTTTAACTGAAATTAATTTTTGAATCAATTTTTATTAGAAAATGTTACGAGAATTCAATTATTTAAATACAAACATAGATTCTTTATTGAATAATTGAATTTTTCTTAAAATTGAATTCTTACATATAATTTTATTAACAAATTTTTAAATAATTAAATTCTTTCGACGAATTTTAATAAAAATTTTAAAAATAATTTCATTTTTCGAGTTATGCTTGAGAAAATAATTTAATATTCGTGTAGAACTTTGTCAAAATTGTTTTTAAATAATTGGATTATTTTGGGAAATTTTATTATCATAATATTATATACAAATTATTGAATGAAGAAAATTTTTTGAAAATAATTGAATTCTTGTGATGCATATTGTTATTTATGGAAATTCTATTTTAAATAATTGAATTCCTGTGAAATTTTTTTTTTGTTTAGAAAATAATTAAATGTTTGTGTAGAATATTATCAAAATTATAGTTTAATAATTAAATTCTATTGAAAACTTTGATTAAAATAGTAGAATGTTGAAAATTATTGAATTAAGAAAAATGTTTGAAAATAATTAAAATTTTATCATGAATTTTATTAAAATTTTTTAAAATACTTTTGAAAATAATTAAATTATTGTAATGAATACTTGTGAAAATAATTAAATTTTGCAATTATTTTTATTAAAATTCTTAAAAGTAATTGAATTTTGTCGAAGAATTTTGCTATTCCTTTATATAGGATAATTGAAATGTGTGGCCAATTTTTTATAAATTTTTTGAAAATAATTAAATTTCTGCGACGAATTTTATTAATTTATACAATAATTGAATTCTTGTGATGAATATTGGTACCTATTTTTGAAAATAATTGAATTTTGCAATGAATTTTATTAACATTCCTGAAAATAATTGGATTTTGTTATTCATTTATAAAGATAATTTCAAATATTTCAATTTAAAATTTAATTATTCTCAAAAAATTATAAAATATGTAATTTTTTTAATATTCAATTTTTAAAATTGAATTCACATCAAGAATTTTATCAAGAAATTTTTAAATAATTGAATTCTTTCGATAAATTTTAATAAAATTTTTAAGTGTAATTAGATTTTTCGAGGATTTCAATTAAAATTGCATATTAAAAATAATTAAAATAATGCTATAAGTTTTATTATTTCTAAAAATAATTGAATTTCTAAAAAGAATTTTATTATTTATGGAAATAATGGAATCACTGTAAAAAAGTTTTATCATTTATGAAAATAATTGAATTATAAAAAATTAAATAATTGAATTCCTGTGAAATTTTTATTATTTATGAAAATAATTATATGTTTGCGTAGAATTTTATCAAAATTTTTTTTAAATAATATTGAATTTTTTTGGAAAACTTTATTATAATAGAAAAATAGATAGAATAGAATAGATATTGAAAATCATTGAATTGAGGAACATTTCTTACAATAATTGAAATTTTGCCAAGAATTTTATTAAAATTTTTGAAAATAATTGAATTTCATATAAGAATTTAATTATTTATACAGATTATTAAAATTTTAACGAGAATTAAAAAAAAAAAAGTTTGAAAAAATTGAATTTTTCCAATGATTTGTAACTTTTCAAAAATTCAACTTTTTTTTAGTATTTTAACCTAAAATTCTTCTATAAATCTATTGTTTTTAATAATTAAGTAAATATTACATTAAAAAATTTAACAAATTTCAGAAGAATGTGAATTATTAAAATTTTTCAAAAATCTAAGATTTTTAAAATTTCTAATTAAATTCATTCTAAATAGAAATTTTATAAAATTTCAAATTGAAACATATTTTGAAATTCATCTATATTATGAAAATAATTTTATTCTTAAAAAACTTATATAAAATTATTTGTAAATTATTTTGATTTTTGAGGAAAAATTTTGCTTAAAAATGAAAAAAATAATTGAATTTTTGAAGAGTTGCATACTCAATTTTTATAAATAATTGAATTTTAATAGGTTTTACATTCAAATTTAAAAAAAATCTTAATTCCTGTGGACAAACAAAAAAGATACCAAAATTCAGAATGTTTTTATGAATTCTAAAAATTTAATTTTTTTCCAGTACTTTTAATAAAAATCCCTGACTTTTCCCTGATTTTCCTGACCAATTTTATTTTCCCTGACTTTTTCCTAAATTCCCTGACCTGTGGCAACCCTGTATATAAATTTTTGCTACTTAAATCCCTTTTTCCAGAGCAACTCATCACATACATCACAAATATAAAAAACGTACCATATAAGAATTCATTATCAGCACAAGAAATATTTTCTGAAACACAATTATGCACAATTTTTCCAAGAAAAATTAAATGCGGAAATTCCACATTTTTTTTTTGTTTTCCAAACCTATGCGTGTTTTCCATACTTTGTATATAGTAGAATAAAGAAAGTTGTTTTATAAACTTCTATTTACTGTAGTTATAAATTAATTGCAGTTATTATGTGTGGAATATCATTTTCCTAGGAAAAAAAAACTCGCTGCAATGGTGGTGGGGGGGGGAGGGGGAGTTTGAAAGGAAGTAGTATAGCGAAATCTTAAAGTCAAAGTAGAGAATTTGTAGCTCGTAATTGTGTAAGTTATATACTAGCACACGGCACGATATCAAGCCAAGTAATCCATCATGATCACTGGGACCTGTGATTTTATTGTCACCGGTCAGGTATAGCAAATAAGGCACGACCGCACTGTAAAAACTTGAGAAAGTGCGAGGAATTAATAACTATCACGTAATTCGCGTCATATAGTGAACGATATTTTTTATTTTTTTTAAAAAAAGCAACTAATTAATTTTCTTTTCAAATTTCACTGAAAAAACAAGAAGCTTCTACATTAAAAAAAGACAAAAATTTCTTTTGTAAAAAAAAGTCTTAAATCTGCATTCTGGACTTACGAATCTCAAGCAAATATCTCATGCAAATAAAAAAAAGAAAACTTTAAATTGACCAGAAAAATGTCTGGACACCTGTTTTTGAATAAATTCCCTACAGCTGTGATTAAATTTTCGCATTTGCTGATGAACGTTGAAGGTTTATAAAACACAAATTCACCGATCAATATAATATAATATTCGAATGAGTATTTTGAGAGTATGTAAGTATGTATGTACATCCGGTTATATTACTCGCAATTATAAAATTGTGTAACGTTGTTGCCGCTGGCACCGCTAACACATGTCGTCCGCCGATACGACAACGACACACAACACGCACTTGTGCACGCGTGCACGCAAAATGCCATTAGTGTTGGTGTTTAAATGTGCTTGTCCGTGTGTCGCGGGTTCTGTATAATTTGACATGTTGTCGTACACGCGTTATTATTCAGATAGATCTTAAGATAGGAGAGAATCGAGCGCAATCATCTTTCTTCGTCTCGCCAATATCTACTCTTTCTCTCCTCTTATTTTAACTTATTATAATCTCTTTCCCATACATGACAAAAATTTTTTTTACAAATTTTACTCATTTTTCAACTATTTTTAAATATTATTATTTTGAAATATTCAAAAGATTGAACTAGAGTAGATGCATTTTAAGATACAAATGTCTTTTGTAAAAAATCGTCTTAAGGTCATGTTATTCACTGGTCACGTGTCCCATATACTTTACTGGTCACGTGACCACTGAATAACATAAACTTAAATGCGAAACAAAACCAGGGTTATCAAAAAAAATTTAACTTTGTTATTCCCTGACTTTTCCCTGATTTGCGGACAATTCTTCGAA